AAATTAAAAGTAGGAGAGGGGTTAGTTGAGGCTCAGCTGTGTTCTCACCAAGGCTGGGTCAGACAGGAACTCTGTTGTGGCTAAAGCACTGTTATTCTTTTTGTAGTAGTGAATTTTTCTTGGTCAAACACTAAAAGTGTGCGTTAGCATTATCCTTGCTTATGGCCTTGAGCTGTTAGAAACTGGGTTAATATTTTGTCCAAGTCTTGGCAGGCCAAGGTTGAATGCTAGTCAAGATGAGGATTAAAACCACCTTACTAATGAGAGCAGAAGATTCAAGGTCAGCCCAAGCCCCTCCCACAGCATAAACTCTCCAGGAAAAAGGGGCTGTATGTGGCGCACTTTGAACTACCTCATGTGAATTATTTTCCAATTTCACTGCCACTTAAGAGTGGGCTAAATGGTGGGTGAGGTCTTTCTTATATGTAAGCAATAAAATGATGCATGTCACCTATAGAGAACTTTAAAATATTTGCTTTTTATTATGACCATGTGCTGGCAATTCTAGACACCAGTGGTAAAATTCATTCTGTTCCCCCAAGTCTTTTGATGATCTTAATTCTAGATAGTTTTTCTAGCTATTGTAAAATTTAGTAATGTCTCGTAAGCTTTATATTTGCCCGTTTTTATTGCTCATCTCTTTGCAAATATTGTATTTTTACAAGTAAGTTAATCCGAGGGAATGGCCATTTGTACACCTGGACTTTAACCCTTGTCGACTCAGCACTTGTTTTCGTTTTTAAATAACTCGGAAGGTCTGAAACACGATTGGACTTACTCTGGGCATGTGGAGGGCTCACACTGTGCATTTAAGCAGCCCATTCAAAGGAGACCAGGACAGCACAGAGAAGGGCTCCCTCTCTGTGACTCCACCATGCGACTCAGAGTCTAGATTAGTATTTGAAATGGAAGAGTTGGAAACGGTGTGAACCACAAAGGGTAGCATTTTTATTTGTTTAGTACAAAGTGTGGTTCACCCATACTAAAGAGTGTCTTTAACATTTAAATGCGTTCTTTTTTTAATTAGCAATCACTTAAAACAACAAATCCAGAAAGCAGAACATCTTACCAGTGCTATCATTTAGATGTCACCTCATGTAGACATTTTTTGCAGACATTATTGTTTTACTAAAACTATTTATCAGAAAATTATCTGTTAGAAGATGTAATAGAATTAATGGCCAGATAGTAAAATCCAAGCTGCTAAATAACAGTACAATCAGAACAAAAGCAAATAAATTGTTTCTCATCCCTCTTTATGTTTTGTTATTTATTTTCCTTTTTTTCCAGATTGATGTAACATATGTACAATGGTAAGTGGAATAATTTCTTTGTCTAAATATTACTATCACTCTGAGCTATTTTTTTCACCTGATGATTGTTACTGAAGAGAATCCAGCTTTATAGAAAGCTACTAGTAAAATTGAGAGACAGATAGAGAGTGTGGTGGGCAGCAAGGAGGAAAGAGGAAACCACAAGAAAGGGGTTAGAAAAGACAGGCAGAGAGGAGCGGAGGGACAGAGACCAAGACAGAACCTTGTTCTGTCACTGACACTCATTGGAGACATGAAAATCCAGGAACTGGGGTCTTACAACAATGCTTTTAGCAATTTTATCATACATCGCCCATTACATATCTAGAGAAGGTTAAGTAACTCATATTTCCACAGTATAGCCTTTCATGGAATTTCTTCTACAACAATTATCATCTTCAGTACTAAGTGCTTTATAATATAACAGGAGAACAAAATACCAGTTAGGTGAGTTATACCACATTATAGTGTTAATATCCTTTGGAAAAATGAAAGATTAACAACTCTGTAGAAAAACGGACAAAAGCTGTAAGAAATAAACCCCAAACAGATTGTTTTATTCATAATAAGAGAATTCATGAGCACGACACACAGGAGAGTGACAGAAACCTAAAAGCTTAGCCATTTTCCCTGTTGCAGGGACCACAGGACATAGAACCCACTGTGCTTTCTTGGCAGGAACCTAGAATGATATAATCCTTATGAGGAGGATTTGGGAATTACTAACAAAAAGTACCAATAAATTTACCTTTGTTCTTTCTCCATATTAACCATGGCTAAGTTAATAACTTAGATTATTCTGAGGGTACACTGGGGAAGGGTATAAGGTTCATGGGATCAATTTAAAGCATACCTTTGCTGTTGTGGTTACTTGTAAATATCCGTAGTGGGAAATTGCAGTGTTAGCATCTGCTGGTGTTACTTGCTGCATGACCTGGAGTGTAAAGAGTGTGGGAACTTGACACATGCTGTGTGAAGTGTATGGAATGGACACAGTGGGAAACACAAAGGAATGGTGGTTCATTACAAGAATAGCATTTTCAGCTGGCCACTGTCCGAGACTGCCCGGTTGTAGGGATTTTCTGAGCATCTAAGGGTAAGGACTCAGCAGCAAATACCTACCTGCATAGATTCCCCAGGTCACTGGGGTACACCTGGTCACACACTCTTAAGTTATCTCGGAAAGAAGTGGGAATGCTGCATGTCTCTGACGAGACACAGAGAGGAGGCAGGGAGAACTGTATTTGCAGTGTAACAGCTGTATGCTTTCTCTGAAAGTGGATGACTAACACTGCATGTAAGTGCAAAAGTGACATTGACCGACTGAGGGAATGAAGAATATGGTAACTAGTGGCAATTTCAGTATATAACACCCCAAGTCCCAACTATACAGCCTTGTAATTATTAATCTCATCAAGATATCCCATTTCCTCAAAGAGGCATAGCACACACTAAAGCTAGAAAATTATCGTATAGATACTAAAATTTAAATGTATGCCAACCTATAAAAATGAACCACTAGTAAATGATCAGAGGGTAAGAACTGAATATCTAAATGCTTGAATAATTAAATATTTATCATATTTAGCTTATTAGATGTACTAAGGAATAGAAAATACATCACCTATACCTATAATATTGTATGAGTTGTAGGTATAAATGTTGATCTTGAAAAGTTTGATCAAGTTAGAGGATTAGCTACTTAAATTGTTTCTGATTCTTAAATTTTCTATTACACATAATATAACACTTACAAATTTCAGAAACTACAGCATTTGGTAAGGTGTTTTGTAGGGTGTTGTGAGGCCTATAGTGTATCTCAAAGTAGAGAAGGTGGTGGGATGGCTGATGGGGGATGAATCAGATCTCCTAATTAGCTCCAAAAACACCCTAATTCAGAGATTAGCTAGTGATACCTTGTCAGATGACAGCATGTAAGGACACCTATGGAATCTAAACAGGATAACACAGCAACAAAAAGAACAGAAAATCAAGGTGGTCATCACAAAGTAAGACTAGGGACTTTTTCTGTCCTAGTGATAAATAAAGCTTTATCCAGCTGTTTCCATGAATGGATAGATGAGTAGGTGGGTAGGTGGATGGATGAAGATGGGTAGGTGGGAGTGTGGATGGATGAAGATGGGTAGGTAGGTGGGTGGGTGGATACATGAGTGCATGGATGGATGGATGAATGCATGGATGTGTGTTGGTGGATGGATGGATGGATGGATTGATGGATTGAACACATTCCAACTATGACACTGGATATCTTCCTATTCAGATGACTCAGAACTCAGATATAGGTTTAATACAATAACAATATAAAGATTCTAGTGTTTTCTTATTCTGGGATAACCCAGTAGATGTTCACACTCTCTTCATATTTTGTAGGTTGTAGACATTCAATATATTTGTTTCCTTTTCTTCCTCTTCTATCTTCTAAAAGTTGTGGCATTCCTGCAGAGAAACATGATTCAGAAGTTCTGTTAAAGATCTCTCCAAATGCTAGCAAGATGTCAGCAGTTTTACTTTTCTAAATCTGTTACCAAGTATTAACTTTTACATATTATTATTCCCAGCATGATTACGATAATGTGTGTTTCCTGTTGCTATGTCTTATGATGCTTTCTGCCTTGAAAAGCTTTTACCACTCCATCTCTATAGCTCTAAATCCACAGCCAAGGACATTTGCCAAAGCTAATTTTTATCATTTTGCCAAACTTTCACATTTTATTCTTCTGAGAGCTTTTCCAGTCACATTGCCTTTTAAATTTCTCTATATAAAATTGTTATATTTTCTCTGAACTTCCCTGAGTCGGGGTTTCAAAAGTTTATATGGCATGAATATATTTTGTGATGTTACATTTCTTAGCACAATGGAATTTACAAAAGGAAACCTTCTTATAAAATTCTGATTGTTTCTACCAGAATTTAAGCATGAAAGATGGCACATTAAAAGGACTGACTTAAAAATCTTGATTTTTCCACTTAGTTGAGGCAATGACTTCACTTCTTCAAATATGGGTCTACATGTACACACTGAAAACAAAAATATCTGCTCTACAGCATTTGAGAAATGAATGATAGTGTACCTAGTACCTATTCATACACACATACATATACATCATATGCATATATGCATATTACATGCATATAAGTATGTAGACACGTAAATGATCTTTCAAGTCTCACCATTTATGAAGCAGGTATTTTTACTCCAGATGGAGTGTAGGTATGTTATCCTTCAAATATTTTAATCCAAATTATTTTGAGAAAATGGTAAAAGCAATAAGGTCCCACTCAGAGCCTTCTGTCCTTCTCCCTGAGCTAGGATGTAAAGCTGGGGCAAGTTTCTGACTTTCCCCTGAAGCAGGTGATAGGATCACCGTGCAAGGGGCACCCTTTCTACAGCCAGAAGAAAGAAACATGCTGATCTTCTAAAATATCAGGCCATAGAAAAGGCTGATAAAGAACACATCTGCTAAGCTTCCCCGGGCCATTGCCTTCAAACCCCCACGCTCTTCTCAAAGCATGCTCCTCCTCTTCTCCTACGAACAAGTACACAGGTCAGGCATCATAGTGGTGCACACCTTTGACCCCAAGCACTTGAAGGCAAGATGAAGGTGGATCTCTGTGAGTTTGAGACCAGCCTGGTCTACATAGTAAGTTCCAGGGCAGCCAGAGCTACATAGCAAGATCCTGTTTCAAAACAAAACAAACAAACAAACAACAAAAAAACCTAACACAGGTCAATGCATTTTAGGGGTGTCCATTTTAGGGTTGGGGATGTCTTTATGTCCTTACTAAGCTTGATACTCAGCATAAAACAAAATGTAGATATATGTATGCTTATATACACACTATCATTAACTCATATTAACTGTTAAACATACAATTGCATTATTCCTTCTGTTTTAATCTGCTAAGGGAGAAAAATGACAAAATAGGAAGTTCTTCAAATATAAGGGTTCGATTCACTAGGAGTTTGTGGCCATCAGCCTTGGAGACCTGTACTGTTTTCCCATCAGCCTTTAGCCTTCTTCCTTTGAACTGCCATTGAAGACCACTGGAGTAGTTACTTCAAAGTGCGGTTGTGCAGCAGCAGACATTTGTGTCAGCCTCTTCCGTGACCTTAGCAACCTGTCGCCACAGGAGCAAAGTCCTCTCCACAGACACCGGCACACCTTTGAAAAATCACACTAGTTTATTTTATATCCAGCTTGACTGTGTCTTTGTCATTCCCATCTCATAGTTGAGATGAGATTTTTGTTTTCTTTTTCCAAAGAGGAGAGAGTCCTCTAGTGGCTGGAGTTGGTTTCAGTTTCGCAGCCCTCAGAGGAGAAAAGTCTTTTCATTCCTGAGAGCTGTGTTGATGATCTGGGAGGAGAGACGGATGATCTGCAACAGTAAAAGACCCAGGGAAATATGACATGATGGCTCGCATCCAAGACATCTCGTGCCTACGCTGGCAGCAGTCGGGGCATTTTATGAAGCCTTAGAGACTTGCTAGATTCTAACCGCTGATTTATCAAGATCTTTTTGATTATCATTAATGATTTATTACCATTTCCTCCTTCTTGTTATCTCAGCTCGTTTCTCACCTATCTGCATGGCTTTTGAACAATGCAGGTTCCTCTACTCTGCCGTCAGATCCACACACAGCTTCCCATGTGTAAGTCTAAGCAGAAGGAGCTGGTGTAGAAAGAGTCAGTTATCATCATATTTGTATTAAAAGGGAAAGAGTCAAGAAAGTACATTTGCATTTCTGGTTTGCTGATGTCTTTCTCATTAGGCTGAGAGAGGAGGGTCACGGGGTCATTTTTCTCTCTTAAATTCTAATGAAGCAGCTGGAGAGATCAGAAAACCATTGTGCATAATCAAAACCAATTAAAGGGAGAATACTAGCAACCTGCAATTATCCATATTTTAAAAAATGATGCCAGAGATTTAATTGGATAAATAGAAGTCTGTCTATGTTCCAGTAACAATTTGACCAGTAACTCCATTGGTGACATTTTTTCCAAAGTAGCTAATGTGTCTATTTGGGGAGTCTTGCCCAGTTAAATGTAAGCATGTGCATCCAACATAGTGGCCAAATGGAAGACTTTAAAAATGGGTGAGAGCCCTGAATCCTAGGTTAAGTGCCCCAAGTGACATTACTAAGTAGAAAATAAAATTTGCCTGTGTTCTCGGGACCTTTGTGAAGGAACAGAGTCATTTCAAGTACCCTAGAAAGAAAGCAACTGAACGCCACGAATGAGAATTATCACTTATCTAAACACTGCAGCCATTGTTCAGATGCTATGGTGATGAATCGTTTGGGAATCAAAATGTTGCAACATGTACCGGCTTTCAATACGAGCAGGCAACACAATGGCGGATCATGTTCCACTGCAAACTGCTGGTCCCTGGGCAGTCTACAGAACAAAGTGTTTCTGTGCTACCACGTATTATGTCTTTCTGGAATTCTCATGTCTCCCCTATTCACACTGAATGCAGAAAAAGGCAGAAAAGGAAAAACTGGGGACAAAGGGGGAAACTAGATAATTTATGAGCATCCCACGCATAATGTGTTCCTTTGCCGTATACATGATTTCAAGTAAGAAAAAAAACAAGCAAACAAAAAGAAACACTGAAAACCAGAAGAAGTAGGGAAAAGTCTATATCAAAGCCCAAGTTTTTCTTTCCTAAAGCACGGATACTTTTGTTTGTTTTTGTTTTTCACTAAGGAAGCCACGATCCTTGAGATGTAGCCTTCCCTTGCCGAGATGAGTGGCCCAGGCCTCTACTCTGAGCTCTTGGGAAGCTGAGAGAGGAGGATCCCAAGTTTAAGTACTGTTTGGGCTGCAGAGATATCTCTCTTCCATGTCAAGAAGGGGAAGACATTAAACAACTCTTAGCAATGGAGATTGCACTGACTTAAATCTGTCTAACAAGGTGAACTGAAAAAAATCTTTGTCCTTTGTTTTCCACATTTTCCTGGCCACTTCACCATATATTTTTCTCCCGCCCTAAAAGTCCAAATTCAACCCATCTCTTTCAGTCCCGTGTCTGTGGCCACTCCTGCATGCAACTGTGAAACACACATTGTGCCATACTAAACTCCTACAGCTGGAGAGATGACTCAGTCAGTGATTATGAGCACTTACTGCCCTTCCAGAGGAAACCAGGTCCAGGTCCTAGAAGCTCACAAACATCTGTAGCTCCTGGTCCAGTTGACTGGACACAATCTTCTCACTTCCACAAGGTCCTGCAAACCTGTGGTGCATATACACTCACTCAGACACGCATACCAGAAAATAAAATAAGTGATTGCTTAAAATGTATGAACTTTTAGTTTAGTATAGGTTAAGTTAGGTTAGTTTTGCTTCTTATTTATCTAATGTCAGTTTATGTCTTGTTCCTGTTTTCAGACAGGGATCCCCACATCCCACTCTGGCTCTAGCTTGTTCTGTGACCAAAACAGATCTTGAACTTCTGATATTTCTGACATTACCTTGTCTTTAAGTGCTGCGTTACAGGCATGTACCATCATATCCAGTTTATGTAGTTCTGGAGAATCAAGCCCAGGGCTTCCTAAACACTAGGCTGACAAACTACCAAGTACAGTACATGTCTACCTCTGGTCTTGGCCAGTCTAATTTACAAGGTGGGAAGCAATTGAAATCAAGCTACTCTAACTTAGTCCATATTGAGTAAAAGAATAATTTTGCAGGCTGTGCTTTGCCCTAGGAGACTCCATTTTACAAGAAGTTTTTGACTTTATTTTAAGGGAAAATAATGACAGTGTGGGTGGACCCAGTAACTGTAGCATGTCTCAGGCACCGCCCATCTGGAACAGACTGATAAATGACTTGCTCCTGAGAATAGAAAAGAAACGACTCTCTAAGAATATCAGGGTGAGGTGAAACTGCAGGGCACATGGGTTTATAAAAATGATATCAGAGAAGCCAGGCCCAAGAACTTATCAGACATTCTAGACCAAGGGAAGGACACCTAATGCTGTGATGCCATTGCCCAAGCGTTTGCTTGTCATCTGGTACCTAGGGTGTGTGCCTGCATATAGTGTGTGTCTGTGTGTGCTCGTGCGTGTGTGCCTGCATAGTGCTTGTGGTATGTGCCTAAATAGTGTCTCTCCCCCTCTCCTCCTCTCTCTGTCTCTCTCTCTCTGTCTGTCTGTCTCTCTCTCTCTGTGTGTGTGTGTGTGTGTGTATGTGTGTGTGTGTGGTGTGTGTGTGTGTGTGTGTGTGTGTGCAGAACTAAAGGGCAGAGGATTCTCCAACCATCCCTGTAGCTTCAGCTCAGCTGTCTCCAACAGTTGATATGTCCTACTCTGTCTCCCTACCAGCCAATTGTTTTCATCCGGACCTGTGCCCTGTTTTCAGGCCCTCTTCAGTCTTTCACCTTTCAGCTAGGAGATCTTTGTTCTCAAACCCTGATTCCCACGGGGCTCTAGTCTGATCATTATCTTACCAAATGCGAACTCTCAGCCTACTTCTGAAATCCGTTCAACTCTGCTGTAGCCTTTTTAACTTGCTTTCATTCTAAAAGACACACACACACACACACAAGAGAGAGAGACAGAGACAGAGACAGAGAGATAGAGAGGATAGATAGATGATAGATAGATAGATAGATAGATAGATAGATAGATAGATGATAGATATTACTGTGTGCTGTGTGATGTATGAGTTAATATTAGTAATTAAGAGTGAAAGAAAAGAATGTGAATTTATCTTGGCCAGACTACCAAGGTAGGTAGATTCTTTCTTGAGAAATTTTTATCATTAAACCACTAAATCATGTGGATTTGTTGTTATTTAATAAATTCTAACTTTGTAGAAAGACACAAACATGTTCATCCGTGTTTCTGGCATAGAATGCTCATTACACAGCTGAAGCACCTAGGATGGATGGGGATATTTTTTCCTCCCTGGAATCTGTAAATACAGCCATTTAAGGGTGATTATGAAACAGTAAAAACAACTGCTTGATAAACTTTATAAATCTCTATATTTTGGCTATATTAGAAATCAGTCTGATAGCCAATTATGGTAAGTGTCTTTGTATAGCCAATAAGACCTCTATTATGTGAAGAAGATTGTACCATACCTCAAACACTCTCAAAGTCTGAAGAGCAAATGTGATACATGATATCCCTGGAGAAGATTCTGTGTTTTATAAACCTCTTCTACACTTGGAAGACAAATCACAATGCTATGAGACCACTAATATCACTATCACATAATATCAGTCTCTTTAACAAAACGTTTGAGTGCTTGTGGTAGATTCACAGTGTATCAGCTTGGATAAGGGAGAGTCACATGACTTCGACTGTTCGATTTCAAACTAGTGTTGGCCATAATGATACCTTTGCAAGATCTGAAGGGTAGAGCTAGGCTGCCTTATACAGCAACAAAGAGTACTCAACAACCCTGCTTGGGGTCACTGAATTGCACTTGGTTTCAATTCAATCACCTGGTGCGGTCCACAGGCTCACCTTCCTGACATAGGCAGGTCCTAGTTCTAGCTCATCTTGCTCAGAAAGACATACTCAGTGTCTGCAGCCTGTGAGCCAGGTTAATGTCTGTTTGCATGATAAATGGTTCAGTCTCTGTCACATAGAACTTGATATTTTGAAGCTGGAGACTTGGGGGAGCTAGTTCTGGCACATCTGCCTGAACTCCAATGTATCTTCATGTCTCTAGTCTCTCTGCTCCTCACTTTGGCTCCCTCTTCGCTTCCTAGGCAATTGCCTTCCAATTTAGACCCCAAAGACAAATGTGAGAAAACAAACTGCTTAAACAACTCCAACAGTTACAGAAAGTCAACTTCTCCTTAGAGAATTTCCTACTGTGAAAGGAAAAGGAACCATTATTTTATACTAAGCACAGAACACACTTCTGCGATGAGATGTAAGGGAGAGTTTCGCCACAAACAAAACAATTGTTAAGTGCATACCATCTGGAAGACCTTTGATTTAATTAATTTTGACACTATGTACCTATCTTAATTAGGGTTTGTCTTTCTGTGATAAAACACCATGACCAAAAGCAATTTGGGTAGAAAGGGATTTTTTTGTTTTCTTTTTTTTCATCACATAGCCAGGGAAGTCAAGGCAGAAACCTGGATATACGAACTGAAGCAGAGGCCATCGTTGGGTGGTGCTTACTGGTTTGCTCCTCATGACTTCCTCGGCCTGCCTTTTTATAACACCCAGGACCACCAATCCAGAGGTGGCACCACCAACAGTGAGTTGGGACTTCCCACAATAAACATCAATTCAAATTTCCCACAGGCTTGGCAGCGGGTCAATCTTAGTTTCCCAACTGATGTTCTCTCCTCTCACAAAACTTTAGCTTGTGTCAAGTTGGCCCAAAACAAAAGCCAAAACAGTACTACCTGGAGATAGCATCAGATTCCACAAGTTAAGTGCCTAATTCCACAAAACTGTCTCCATTTCAGATAATAATCATGTTTTTCCGGCTCTGGGCTGTACTTCTAATCAATCAGTCAACTTTAGTCAACTCTGAAACCTTGTAGCTCCACAGAAGAGTCTCCTCTTTAGCAATTAACTGTTCATTGGCTATATAATCGTAGGAAGGGGCCTGTGGGTCTTGTTAGTTTCCTGTGTTTCCTGAGCCCTGTAAGTTTGCTGAACTTCCTAAATATTATAAGCCTCTTGCCTCCTCCCAGAGAAGACTGTTTTAATTCAGAGGAAATAGCTGTAAAACACAAATTTGTTATAAACTATTTTGAAATGGACATATAGGAACAGGCAAATGAAAAACACAGATGGATCCAAGTATGGCCAAGTGAATGGGGAGGTGAAGATATCCCAGGATCACTCTGAGTCACATTCATTCGGCCATAGAGAAGCTTATGAAAAGCTTGCCATGTTTTTGTTAAACACCTTTTAAAGCTTAATCTTCAGCACCCCTCTCAACACCAAGTAAGTGGGAAATTTCAACACTCCAAATCTCTGATATTTGGAGTCTGTTCTAACTGGCCACTTCCTGGGCTAGGTAGAGGTCCCATCTTAAACCACCTACCTCATTAGCAAAACTCTGGTATGGTCAAGGAAGTAAATTATGAATAGCAAAAGACATTGATTCTTATCACTCAGGAACATTCAAAACTTATAGGAGCTACATGATAGGAATCAAGGGAAAAGACTAGGTTCCTACTGTATCTCTTTCATTGGATATCATCCCCAATGTTGTACCATTCCTCAGATGAGCCTTATGCTGCACAGGCCAGCGTGCCGGTGAGGACAGATGACAGCAAGGTGGACATGAAGAAAGTAGCCTTGGAAAAGCTGCCCTTGCCACCTAGAGTTACCCCAACCAAGAGCCACAGACTGGATAGCTTAACAGATGGAGATTTATTCTCTGCCAGTGAGAGAGGCTGGAAGTCCCAGACCAAGGTGCTGCAAGTTCGTTTTCTCCTGAAGCCTCTCTGTTTGGTAGGCAGGGTCCGTGTCCTTACTCCATACACAGCTGGTGTTGGTCTTCTCTGTGTGGCCATCACCATGTCTTTCCTTCTTCTTATGTCTGTCCCTCTTAAGGACACGCACCCTACTTGTATGCCTCATTTAGCCATAAAGTCCTCAGTCCAATGTAGTCACATTGTGAGTTGAAATTAAGATATAAGTGTTGGAAGACATACAAGTCACTCCTTAACAAAGGCTACCCATCAAACAGGGACCTGTAATTGCCTGTGAAACACACTAGGTGCAATTACAAGAACAATGCCAAGGAAAGGCACAATAGCGTCTGCGTATCACATTGTTCCGGGCATCTGGATTTAGAGGACTGATTATGTAATGTGTCATCCAAACTGAGACACATATGAGGGGGAAAAAGGCACACCGAAAATAATGAACATTGACTGATCTGTGGCAGACACAGTATAGAACAATCCCAGAGAGATCGGGAACACAACATCATGTCAGGAAGGGTCCACAGAAGAAATAACATCTAAGCTGAGATCTGAGGAATAGAGGTAAAGGAAACATAGAACAAATAATGAAAACCCAGAAACAGGTATTGGGTTCAGGCTGAAGATCAGAAAAACAAAGTGGCCAAACCACCAAAAAGCTCTCACTTCTACCAAAGCTCAGACTGAAGGGGCAATCCACGAAACGTCAGATTGCATCTCCGGACTGCACTGCTCCTCTCCAAATCTCAGATTGCTCCTGAGACTGCACTGAGCTCCCTATATTCTCTCTAATGCTGGGATTAAAGGCCTGAGCTCTG